CTCTTAAAATTTTCATAATTATAATTTCCTGCTCGATCTTCCTCAACCACTACCAGCAAAAACTATTCTCCTGATTCCCAAATATCTAGAATAGGGGTCCCTTCTCTTTAGAAAATAAACTGCTCAGGAGGTACCTTAGAAAGAAAAGCATACAAAGGAAATTTTCATATGGTCTTCAACAGATCCTTAAGGAATAACACACTTTCAATAACCTTCACAATGTTTCAAATGATAAAACAGTTTCCTAAGTGGAAAACTAATGTACAAAGCTAATGCTGGGTCAATCTCAAAAGTCATTTAACTGAAGATAATAACTAAAACCACCTGAGTCCAATACAATGATAAATCACAAAGCAAAAAAATCCAAAGCAGCTCTTCTTTATTAATGTCAACTCTCAAAATAACGCTGGTCAAAGTAAAAAGCAATAGATATTCAATAATAAAGCTATAAGCAAAAGCCTAAGTTGCGGTATTATCATTTGCTAAAAGGGAACTAAATAACCAAAAAGCATCTTTATTTTTTATTAAATTAATTCTGACGATATGACTTATGACAATGTACACATAACTTATACACTGTCAAACCACTAATCAGTGACTGATTCTTTAGCAACCTGTTCACCTAAATATATTGAGGGTTTGAGCCTGTATTCAATATCCCACAATAACGATTATTCTTCAGTTGTGTTAGGAAAAATATCAGTAATAGGACTTTCTATTTTTTTTGTTCATATTTCCCATAAGCAATTAAGGAGAATTCTAGCATTGAAATAAATAAAGTTACTCTGAATATAAAAGTACTTTGTGAAATATTAGTCTACCTACCTTTGGGCCTCAGAACTGAATCTGATTAATATTTTTGCAAATACTTTACATTAAGCTCACATAACTGGTAACTCTCTGGATGAAAAGCTTATAAGATAGCTAAGGATACAACAACCAAGAGAGCTAAATGAATGTAGGTAAACACTGTCAACTAACAAATCTACAAAATTCAGTCCAATTTCAGTATCAAAACAATTTCTTTTAAGTTACAAGAGTGTAAATCTATCCAAACGAGAGTACAACCATCACTTTATATTGCTTGAGAAGCTTCGTATTCAGTTTAATAAATTCAGGAACATAAAATTTATTCTTATAAACTATAATTTATTTTTAACTAAACTGTAGACTAATCCCTCAATTAATTTTGCTATGTAATGTAACATTTAGATTTTGATTAAACTATATGACAGTTCTCTAGTGTTACTAAATCCAAGTTATTCCAGACAATAAACAATCATTTGTGGCAATTCAACATATTTATAAATCTTACAGGATAAAAAAGGAAAAATTACCAAAAAAGGAAGTTGAATTTATAGTCACAAAAAGAAAAAACTGAGTAAATTTCATATGTACAATAAGGGTACATTATTTACTAAACATTCTAAAAATAAAATTTAAAAAGAATAACAACAAAATCCAACAACACAGACTAGCTTCTTACACAAACATAAAGGAATATAGCGGTCTACATATTGCTCTCTGTACCTTCACACAATCACATCATACATTATTAATAATGACAGTAACAACAGCAATAGATATTAATGCTGTTAAATGTCCATCAAAGTATTCACAACATTTTCCTCAATTATATCATCACTAGACAGCAGATACCTTCTGAGAAGGTTAAGAGCAGAAAAAGTTGCCAAAGACTGAAAAAACAAAACTGAAACAATTTTGTTGTTGTTGTTGCTTTGTTTTTTGGGGGGCGTTTTTTGGGTTTTTTTAGACAGGATCTCTATATGTTGCCCAGGCTAGTCTCAAACTCCTGGGTTCAAGCAATGTTCCTGCCACATTCTCATGTACCATCATTCTCACATAGTCTGAAATGATTTCTTAAAATCAATATTCAAAGACAAAGCATAATTCTGGTAGTATGTACCTAATAATGCAGTATAACAGTTGATATAAAGAAAACTATATAAAAATAAAATTATTAATTATAATCACTGCTTTCATCTTATTTTTAAATAGGAATAGAAGTAAATTAAGATCATGATGTTATTACATTGCAAGGACAAAAAAGCCAGAATGCACTCTTCATCTGCCAGAAGCATATCCTTCTAACAAAAGGATAATGAGGCCTTTATGATATTCACCTCTGACAGATGTTTATATATAAAATCATAGTAAAAATTATTCAGTTTCTTAATTATTACAAAAATTAATGTATTTTCCAAATCTTTTCTCTTTAAAACAAAGTTATATAAATCTGGAAAAGCATTTCTGGTCATCAAGTAAGAATATTCAATTACAAATTCTTCAGAGCTTTAAGGTTCTTGGGCAGTTGCTCAAAATCTTTTCATACACTCCTGAGATTTCCACTAAAATGAGATTAGAAGGCAAATTTCAAGGATTTCTTCATTATCTTGGTTTCTTTAATTTGAAAAACTTTTAAAATATTTTTAATACAATCTCTTTCCCACTTGAAAGTTTAATATTTTATCTGACAAAATATATACAATCAATATGCAAGATTTTAAACTTAAAAATTTTTTTTAAATCTTGAAACCTACATATACTAGTATTTTTCTACATGGACATAAGTTCTAGAGATTTTCTAGTGAATTAGTGCAAGTGATGGCTACTTTTGAGATAATAAAAAAGGTCATTTTGACTTGCCACTAAAATATATCACTCCAAATTCAACTTTGAAAAGATACACAAATTTTTTTTTCACAATGGAGTATTACTCTGCATTAAAAAATGACAAAATCATAGTATTTACAGGGAAATGGATGGCATTAGAGCAGATTATGCTAAGTGAAGCTAGCCAATCCCTAAAAAACAAATGCCAAATGTCTTCTTTGATATAAGGAGAGTAACTAAGATCAGAGTAGGGACGAAGAGCAGGAGAAGAAGATTAACATTTAACAGGGATGAGAGGTGGGAGGGAAAGGGAGAGAGAAGGGAAATTGCATGGTAATGGAAGGAGACCCTCAGGGTTATACAGTGGAGGGGGTAGAGAGAGAGGAGGGGAGGGGAGGGGAGAGGTGGGGAGGGGGGAGGGGGGAGGATGGGAAAGGCAGCGGAGCACAACAGACACTAGTATGGCAATATGTAAATCAATGGATGTGTAACTGATGTGATTCTGCAATCTGTGTATGGGGTGAAGGTGGGAGTTCATAACCCACTTGAATCAAAGTGTGGAATATGATATGTCAAGAAATTTGTAATGTTTTGAACAACCCACAATAAAAAATTAAAAAAAGAAAAGATACACAAAGATTCTAAAAAGTCATTAATCCCTATTTATCGTATTTTACAAAACAGTACATTATATCCAACTCAAGAGACAAGGATAGCTAATCCACTGAGATATGAACTAGTTCCAGAATTCTAGAACAAAGGCAATATTAGCACAACTATCAACATACTTTTAGAAGTATAATTCAGCCTGGAGACAAGGAGATAAGACTAATTTTTAAGGCTCTTTTGTCCAGATTGAAAAAAAAAAAATGAAAGATATATACAATGATTCAGAAAGCAGTGCTAAATATTTCCTTTATCTGTACACAAACCTCAAAGATAACCCCAACTGATCAACTATGACAAGAGGAACCTCATGGGCCAATGCAATCAACAAGTCAATATGGCTTCTGTATTGTTTCTCCTCTACTATATCTGCAAAAATCTCACCCTGTGAAACTCATCATTAGTAAAGTTAGGCTCTCTATAAATCTTTTGAGCATACAATTGTTCAAAGGCATCTGATTATGAGGAATTCTCTATTACTTTACCACACCTGCTTTAGGTTGTAAACCATATGGAGTATATTATACAACCTAATCTTCAATAACTTCAAAAAGCTATTCTAAATTTTTAATGCAGCCTGCCATGCACATGTTTTAAACCAAAGTATTCTTAGTAATTCTTGTTTCTACACTAGCTCAAGGCAACAAATATTAGTTTTTGTCAATTATTTCTAAGCTGAATCCCAAGGGGTTTTCTATACAAGAGAAAGGCCTGCAAGTATCATTTACTATGATACTTTGTTCACTTGGTACAGCAGAGATCCTTTATAATTAAGTAGGTGCTTTTCTGTCCTGTGAGAGCTATATATAGAACTTACTTTCAAATATGCAGTAGTTCCTTAAAAATCTGGGTCACTGGGGCTGAATATGTAGTTCAGGGGTAGACGCTTGCCTCACCAGTGTCTGGGATTGATTCCCAGCATCACACACATTTTAAAACAAAATGGATCATTCAAGATATCTCAGATCTTTTTTTTTTTTTTCCTTCACATAGAATATTTTTTAAATTTAATAATACTGACTCAGAAAGTAAGCACCAAAGAGAAGGAACACTTCTTGAAAACACTGATTAGTTTTCAGATGATAAAAGACAAAAAATATAAACAAACACTGGTATTCACAAGTTCCAGACTATTTAAGCAATATCAGTACTCTTTTTCCTCACTAATTCCAATAACTGAGGTTTAAACTGGAAGAAAAATTATAATTGCTTAGAAAACATGTAAATACATTTTTAAATTTGTAGTGTACTCAGCCAGCCATGGTAGAGCATGCCTAAAATCTCAGCTACTTGAGAGACCAAGGTAGGAGGATCACAAGTTAGATGCCAGCCTGGGTAACTTAACAAGACTTGTCCCAAAACAAGTTTTTTTAAAAAACAGCTAGAGATGTAACTCAGTGGCAGAGTACTCATCTAGCATGCACAAGGTCCTGAGTTTAAGTTCTAATACCACGAAAAAACGTTAATTTAGCTATTAAGATTTATGAATCAGAAATAAAATTAGAGTACAAATTACAAATATTTTGAAGAATTAAGAGCATTATTTTCTTCTATTCCCTTTGTCTTACATAAAATTTAATCCCCAGAAGCCCACAGGATTTACAAAATAATATTTTATTATAAAGCTTCATGTTCCAAAACACACAGTGAAGTTTTCAAAACAAGCACAAGCAACTTCAAGCCTTCATGGGTGTACTTACTGTTTTGTGCCCATTCTGGCAGGCCACATGCAGTGCTGTCTGCCCCATCGCATCCTCAACATCGACATCACTGACATGTTGCACGAGGTCATGGAGCAATTCTGTCCGCCCATTCACAGCCAGCCAGTGTATCTGTGAAGTCATTTAGTTACTTAATATTTGTGCAAGAATATTTCATAAGAAAACAAAAAATAATGCTACTATCTCAAATGAACATGATATGCAAATTAAAGATATTTTAAACCCATATACTTTTTCCATTTTTTTTTTAACATGAGAAAGACACATGGCATCAAAATACAGATTACTCCATCAGGTATTACGTCATCAAGTACTTGATGACTAAAATAGTATGGTACCTAGGCTGAGGATCACCAAAAACTTTGCAAGAAGATTTAGATGATGATGTTGAAGAAGTCTCCCATAAAGCACAAAGAAAAAAAAAAACAGAACAAAAGAGAAAACATAATAAAATTGATGACCTAGTCCAAGTGGTCTAAAATTCAAACATAAGAGTTAGGAAAAGAGAGAACAGGGGAGTGGGAATCATCCAAGTCATAATGTATGAAAATTTCCATGAGCTCCCATTATATAAGTTTCTGGGTTGTTGGAACTCAGTGTTATCCAGTAAAATGAATAAAATAAATCCAACCAAAACATATAATCATGAAATTTTAGAATGCTGAAGCACAAAGTAAATTCTGTAAGTTTCTAAAGACAAAAAAAAAAAAAAAAAAACAGATTTCATATAAAGGCTCAAGAATCAAAATGGCACCAAACTTCAAGAATGAAAACTAGAAGACAACAAAGCAATGCTTTAAAAATACAAAGGGAAAATGATATCCAGCCTAGAATTTTATTGTCAGCCAAATTATCAATTATATAATTGTGCAAATGCAAAGAATCAAGTCATATTCAAACATGCAAAGTGGCAACAAATTTATCTCCCATGCACCCTTTCTCAGGAAACTACCAGTTGATGTGCTCCAGCAAAGTGAAAGAGAGAGACATAAGACTCAGATAACACAACTCAAAGCAAAAGAGAAAAAATAAATAAACTAATTAAGTGAGCTCAGCAAGGTTGTACAATACAAGATTAACACACACAAAAAAAAAAACCCTGCACTTTATATACACTAACACTAAACATGCAAAAACACAATTAAACGCAATACCATTTACACAACTGCTCCAAAGAAAATGAGATTCTTGGCTAAATGCTTAATAAAACATGCACAAAATCCCTATGCTGAACAGTACAGAACGCTAATGAAGAAATCAAAGATATATATGAATGGAAGGATACACTGTGTTTATGGATTGGAAGACTCAATCAACATAAGATATCAATTATCCCCAAATTGATCTTTCAGTTTAATATGACTCCAATCAAAATCCCAGAAAGGTATTTTTGTAGACACAGACAAATTTGCCCTAAAATTTGTATAGAAATAAAAAAGAACCAGAATAGCTAACACAAACCTCACAAAGAAAAATTAAAGTGGGAGGAATTACTCTTGTGATATTAAGTCTTGCTACAGAGTTGCAATAATCAAGACAGCATAGTACCAAGGCTGCGGATATAGCTCAGTTGGTACAGTGCTTGCCTTGCACACACAAGGCCCTGGGTTCCATCCCCAGCACCCTCCCCCCCACCAAAAAAAAGAAGATAGTGTAGTACCCACAGAGGGGTAAACACATAAATCAATGGAATGAATGAAAAGCACAGAAAAGGCCCAAGTAAATATGCCCAACTGATTTTTAAGAAAGATGCAAAAACAATTCCATGCAGAAGGGACAGCCTTTTCAACAAACAGTGCTAAAGAAACATAGACAAGGACTGAGGTTGTGGCTCAGTGATAGAGTGCTCGCCTAGTAAGTAAGCATGAGGCACTAGGTTCAATCCTCAGCACCATATAAAAATATTGTGTCCACCTAAACCTAAAAAAACAAATATTTTTTAAAAAAAGAAACATAGATAAAAAAACATTCATGGGATTTTTATTATTTCTGTAGTCCCCTATGAGTTTATAATTTCACAAATAATATCTTAAGATTAAAAGTTTTTAAATGAAATAAATGAGTATCTATATGCCAATAAAAAAAAAGAACCTCAATCTAAGCCCCATATCTTATACAAATATTAACTCAAAAGAAATCACAGACATAGATGCAAAATGTAAAACTAACACTTTTAGAAAAAAAGGGATAAAATCTTCAGGATGTTGAGCTAAACAAACAGCTCTCAGCCTTTATACCAAAATCATGATCTATAAATGGAAAATTTGATAAAGTCTACTTCATCAAAATCAAAAACTTTTACTTTTCAAAAGACCCTGATGAAAATTCAAAAAAAAAAAAGATCCTCATGAGAGTTTGAAAAGCAAACTACAGACTGGGAGAAAATATCTAAAAATCATATACCTGAGATAAAGCCCTTTTCTCTTGGATATATAAAGACTTCCCACAACAGTTTTTTTAAAAATCCAATTAGAAAATGGATAAATGACATGAATTGGCATTTCGTTCCATATAAGAGGATATGATATACAAATGGCAAATAAGCCTATGAAAAGATGTTCAGCATCACTGACAATTAGACAAATGCTTATTAAAAGCACAATGAGATCATTACACATCCATCATAATACTCCACAAAAAAAAAATTCAAGCTTCCTGGCTACATATCTGTAATCCCAGTGATTTGGAAGGCTTGAGCCAGGAGGACCACAAATTCAAGGCCAGCCTCAGCAACTTAGTGAGACCCTATCTCAAAATAAAATAAAAAGTGCAGAGGGTGTGACTCAGCAATAGAATGTCCCTATGTTCAATCCCCAGTACAAAAGGGGGGGAAAAATGGCAGCAAATGCTTGCAGCAAATTCTGGCAACAAATTGAAAAACTGTATCACTCAAATATTATTGGCAGGAATATGTTATAGCAAAATGTGCATTATATATTCTATACAAAAAATATCAAAATTAGCACTCAGAAATATTTAGACACAAAGATATGAAATTTTTAAATCCATTAAAATAGCTGAGAAGAATTGCCTAGAGATAGGTAGACTTTAGGGGGACAAGTTTGGGAAGGCCAAAAGACTTGTTTCCTTCACCAACCCTTGTCAAATCATTTGACTCTACATTTGTGCATGAATAATTTTATTCAATAAAAATTTTAAAATTATTTTCTACTCCATCTTCCTTGAATTTCAGGAATTAAGCAAAGAAATTAGCAGATAAAAACATATGTGATTCAACAGATTAAATTAACAACAGACACCTTATATTGCTTAAACTGGGTAGTATCCTAAAGATCTACATCATTTCAAAGGGTTCATACCTCTGTGGCACCTACCAAATCACTAATTCTGTAGATACACAGAACACAATCTTTCCTTACAGAGTAGATGATATTATATTGCTAATATATAACAAAACCTGTAGAGCCCATATAATAATCATGATTAAGATTATTATTTAATAAGCCACTCAAAAAAATTCAAATTTTAAGGAAGGTCCTCTCCTGAAAGGACCCTGCCCTCTCAACTGAGGGTATCTTTTCTTTCTCCTCTAATAAACTTTACCATATTTTAAAATACATATATAAAATATACATAGATTTATATTCTGTATATAATTTTAAATTTTATATATACCTATAAACATATATAAAAAATACTGTTTTTCTTATATCTCCCCCAAAAGTCTTTAATCAGAAAGGCCTTGAAAACTGGCTTGGTAAGTAAATAGTCAATATTCTTCTTTATTTACAAATTAAAAGGTAAAAATCAGGATGGGCATTGCCTAGCATGTGTGAGGCACTGGGTTCAATCCTCAGCACCACATTAAATAAATAAGTTATAAAATTCTGATAAAGAAATAGATTTTTTAAAAAAAGATAAAAATCTACAAGTATTATCAAAGGAAGGTGAAATTCAATTTAACAAATAATACTTAATATCTTCTGCCATGACTTCAAAATTATTGTTCAATAATTCTATTTTATCTCTACTTTCAAAACGAATAAGGCTCTATTAAATGATGATGATGATTGGTTAAAATTCTGAGATTTCAACAATCCTATTAGTAATAGCTCATACCACCTTCCCTACAATATTTATATGGCTCAAAACTAGATTAACCTGCCAGGCATAGGGGTGCATGCCTGTATTCTTAGCAATTTGAGAGTCTGAAGCAGGAGGACCACAAGTTTAAGGCCAGCCTGGGAAACTTAAGACCTGTCTCAAAATAAAAAATAAAAAGGGATAGGGATGTAGCTCAGTGGTAAAGTGACCTTGGGTTCAATCCTCAGTACCAAAAAAAATATGGCAAAATGGATAAAAATACTAGTTTAAGATATAACACATCTAAAAGAATATAGGCCAAATATTAACTGTGATTACCTCTGAACCCAGGGATCATAAGAAGTGCTAATTCTCGTTTTTACTTTATTCCTTTCTCTCTAGCCACACCATTTTCCTAAAATGAAATATAACAGTACTCAAATGGACATAATGAAAACAGCTCTCCTACAATGAACTGATAACATATCTTAACAGAGATGCTCCTAAGAAGTCCCTTGAAAGTCAGTGACCAAAGTTAGGCAAATAAGACTTCAAAATAAATGATAGTCATAATCTAATAAAGAGAAGTGAACTACAACTTAACTGAAAACTATATCTCAAATCATTCTACACCTTCTTAAATACTATAAAGATCTCACAGAAACACTCATACTACATTGTTCATTGCCATCACGTATTCAAGATTGTATTAAAAAAATTATTTTAAAAAATCTCAGATAAAATAGCACTTACTGCTGTAAGGCCTTCATTATTACAAATGTTGACATCAGCACTGTATTCTAATAATTTACTCATACATTTCTTCTGCCTAAAAAGAAAGACAGTCACAGATAACTGATACTAGAAAAAATATACAAACTACAATTATTTTACTGAAATATTAATTACAATCAACATTAGTTGATATATATATCTGTATTTTCAACTATAACTGCAATATTTAAATGAACACTATTTGAAATAAAATAAAATTGTTTCTATGATTCAACGATAACATGATAAAGAAATAACCATTAAGTTTTCATGTCATTGGAACAAACTTATCATTCAAATTGCAGAAACTTCTAGTGTTGACTAAATGGAATAGTAATTGCCATAAGAAATATAAGCATAGCAAAATGTTTCAATGTTGTATTCCACATTCTTGATTGGAAATACTAAATACTGAGTTATAAAAACACAATCAGAAAACCTGTAAAATGTATGTCTATGCATTCCTCTCTACCCACTTCATTTTTTTCATTCATTTTTATTATGATAAAATACACATAACATAAAATTTATCATTTTAAACATTTAAGAGTAAAGTTTTGTGGTATTTTACATAGTACAAAGTCAAAGTTCATCCATGTTGTAGCTTATGTCAAAATTTCCTTCCTTTTTGAGGCAGAATAATATTTCATTATGTATATATGCCATATTTTGTTTAGCCATTCATCAGTTGATGGACACTTGTTTCCACATTTTAACTATTATAAATAATGCTTATGTACACAGGTATGTGAAATATTTCTTCAATACACTGCTTTCAATTCTTCTGAATACACACCCAGAAGTAGAACTGCTAGATCACATAATAATTCTATTTTTAATATTGTGAGGAACTGCCATATTTTGTTTTCATGTTTGTTTTTGCAGTGCTAGGGATTGAACCCAAGACCTCATGCATGTAAGACAAGCAGTCTATCACTGAACAACATACACCTGCCCCAAAGAACTATCATATTGTTTTCCACAGCAGCTCTTCCATTTTACATTCTTACCAACTACACAAGGGTTCCAATTTCCTCACATACTGGCCAATATTTGTTATTTTCTGGGGTGTTTTTTTTTTTTTTATGGTAGTCATTCTAATGATTATGAATTGGTATCTCACTGCAGTTTTATTTTGCATTTTCCTCATTAGTGATGCTGAGCATCTTTTCATGTGCTTATTGGCCATTTGCATATCTTTAGAGACATGTCTCTTCAAGTATTTTGCCCATTTTTGTACAGTCCACTCACTGCATTTTGTTCCCAAAGTTTCTTCTTAGCCTATCCATTCCTAGTTACTATTCAATATGCATCTTAAATTCCCCTTCATTAATAAAGTCTGTATGAATTCCTGTGAACTACATGGAACCTCATATTCCTCTGGAAGCATATTACCTACTGGTATCACTCATTTGGCAATCAACACACACACACACACACACACACACAGGGGCTTAACTATGCTCAGCACTGAACTGATTGAGGAAATATAATCTGTGGCATGAAGTTATGACCTAAATGAATAAATAGAAATACATATAAAACAGTGCATATAGTATTAATATATGTATTAATAATATACTATACATAGTATATAGTGGTATATGCAGAGTAAATGGCAGATATGTATATATTACCATTTATTCAACTAATTCATAAACTTCTGCTATGTATTATATCATATTTCCTTAATCAACTCATAATCAAGCATAGCCAGACCCATAGTGGCTCTCAAAACTCCATTACTCAATCATTAAAATTATTAATGATCACATAAATCTTTTAAAAGAAAAAAATGACTAGCAAATTACTTTTTTTTTTTTTTTTTTTTTTTTTGCAAATTACTTTTCTTGTTTTGAGTTTTACACTTAAAACAAAGTTAAATGTCATTTAAAAGTCAGATTATAAACTAGGCTAAGACTAAGGCAGGAGAATCCCAAGTTCAAAGCCAGACTCAGCAACTTAGCAAGGCCCTCAGCAACTTAGTTTGCCTCAAAATTAAATATAAAAAGAGCTGGAAATGTGGCTCAGGAGTTAAGTGCCTCTGGGTTCAATCGTGGTGCCAAAAATAAATAAATAAATCACATTATGATCAAAGAAATGGAAGAAAATAAAGCTCAGAATAAACTCTTAAGTTTGAATATTTACAAACTTTCCTCATCTAACACATCATTATGAAGATCTTAGAAAATAAATTCTCACTAAGCATGGTAGGGCACACCTATAATCCCAGCTACTCCAAAGGTGAAAGTAAGAGGATCTCAAGTTAGAGGCCAGCCTGGGCAACCAAAGAGGACCCTATTTCAAAGTTTTTTTTGCTTTTTTTTGTTTTGTTTTGTTTTTTTTAAAGAGAGTTGAGGATGTTAAAAAAGAAAATTCTCAGCTTCTGTAGAAGCTTAATGGGGCTTCTTTTAGAAAGGAAGGCAATCCAACACAACACTAATAGTGACAAGAAAAATACTAAAGCAGGCCAACAGAAATATATTATCCATCTAACAATGACAGCAAAGGAAGCAAAAGAAAAACTAATGGACCAGCAAAAGTAGTAGAATTCTCCTGTGACTTCTACTTCAGTATGGACAAATTTGAATTCACAATGAAGTCATAGAAAACAGCTATTTCTGAAAACACCAATAGCTTTAGGAAGTAACAAGGATTCAAGTCGGTTAGCAAACATTTACTGAGCATCTCTATATTGTACAAGACATCAATTCAATTTTTAAAAAGCTAAAATATTTAAATATTGGATATTAAAAGCACACTTTATTAAAAATAGAAAGGCAACCAAATTAGCAAATGGGTGATGAACTCTTCTAATTCCTCCTCTTGCTGACTTGATAAGTGAATCATGTAATACCTGCCAAATTTCTTCATCTTTAAAGTATAATGGTCTTTTCAATTACTATTGACAAAAACAGTGATCAAAGCTATTTTCTATGTACTTAAAAGGCCTGTATACTGGAAAACAATATATAAAACATCCTTTTAGCAGATCAAGAACATCCTGTCTTTCAAGTCTAAAACATACTTCTTGATCCTCACATTGAAACTGTATGAGTAAGTCTACCTACAATTACAGTGGACTTTTTAATCCCTGCCTTGTACCAATGTGTCCTTCCCTTTATGATGGTTGACAGAACACATATAAACTTTTCAAAGACTATTGTCAGTAGCCAGGCACAGTGGCATATACCAGTAATCCCACCAACTTGGGAAGCTAAGTATTGCCAAATTCGCGGTTAGCCTTAGCAACTTAGTGAGGCTCTAAGCAACTTAGAAAGATCCTCTCAAAATAAAATACAAAAAGAGCTAAGGTATAGCTCGGTCCTAAAGTGCTCCTAGGTTCAACTGCCAGTACCAAAAGGAAAAAAAAAAAAAAGACTGTTAAGACTGTTGTCACTATCCTATTAACACCTGGGACAAAAGATCTGAGATCAATTCAGCTCTATGATCTTGAGTTGACACACTACAATATACCTAAAGATTTTTATAAAAACAACTGTTTAATCAGCATGTTGTTATCAGTTAAAACAACAGACAATTAAGCTGGTTCATGTGTTAACGCATAAAAGGAGACACATCAGACAGTGTGAAAAGACTATGTCTTTCCCCTGCCCAACCCAGACATCACTATGGTTCTTTATCTTTTTGGTTCAATTTTCATCCTTATATGCAAAATTTGTGCCTCAGATTGATGCAGTGGGTAATCTTATCTCAGTTTAGAACAGGAAACAAAAATATCTCCAAGATTAATCAAGAGACACAACAGGAATGTACTTCCATAAAGAAGTTTTATAGTACTCAAAAAAGTTCCTCAATGCCTCAATCAAAATCTACTTATTTTCATTTTAAATTTAATTCCAATCATTTTGGTATCATTTCTTGGTCCAACAGAATTCTAGATGAAAAACAGTAGCAGAGGCAGACACAGAAGTATGACACTCAGAATTCCTCATAGAAAAGAAAAACAAAAACCATAAAAGTTAGAGTAGGGTTTAGAATAGCACACAAAAACACAATGATGTTTAGATGATGACCAGAATTAAGAATTGGCAGGAAGAAGCAAAAATATACTCAATACACAAAGTTTTTCACTTTTTGAAAATACTTTTTTTTTTTAAGCACAATCATTTATTTAGGAAACTTTTTTTCACAGTTAAAATGAAAAAAGTTTTAACACTGAAAGTTACCCTTAACTAGAAAGTTTACATCAATACAGTTATTCTCAAACAACTGTAAACTTGGTACAATGTGCTCACTGTCCTTAATTCTACTACTAAAATTAACTAAACAAGTAATTTGGAAATTAAGCCATGAAGTTATGAGTGGCAAAAGATTGCAAGGAAAAAAGACAACAAAAAACAGAGGTTAAAATTATGCTTTTCAGAAAATGTCATTATAATACAAGTAATGATGAACTATTGCAATATATTTTTAGGAAGAAAAATATTAGTGAATAATAAGTTATTAAATGATATTTTTAAATGTAACAATGATCCAAGACCCACTTTAAAGAGAAAAAATACTTATATATCCTTAAGAAACAAAAAAATTATAACAAGTAAAATGTATTATTTTTCTAATTTCTCCCTAAGGCAATTATGGAGGGGAAGGTCATCAAATCAAGGTAGAGTGAAATACCAATAATAAAGCTTTAGCTACTTTAGGAAACTAAATATTTTACCCATTTCTAGCTGCCAAATGAAGAGGTGTACAGCCTGAAATATCTTGATAGTTAGGATTTGCTCCTTTCTTTAACAGCAAAACCAAGCATTCCACTGATCCACAACTAAAAAATATTAAAAGACAGTTAAAATACATTCAACGAAAGCCACACTTGGCAAAGTTTAAATAAAAAACAAAAACTTCTATTAAACAACATTATTTTAAAACTCTGTATTTATCTACAATTTGATTTAACTTCTGTTACAAATACCCTCTATCTTCAAAATGGTACATTCTATTAGGAAAGCTATAAAGGATTTGAGATGTTCAAATAAAGCAAAATAAAGAATTCATTTATAAAAGAAGCTATATAGTACTCTCAATTTTTGGATTTCTAGGAATCAACTTAATCATAAACAATTAATTTAAACACATCTACCTATAGCCAGAAAGAAGAACAGGTATCAATAAATTAACTGATTGATTATACAGTAGAAGACTACAGATAAAAAAAAAATGGTACTCCCACAAAGATAAAAATATAGATTGCTGTATGTATACACATGGATGTATAACCAATGTGATCCTGCAATCTGTACACGCAGAAAAATGAGAATTCATACCCTATTTGAATCAAATGTATGATATGTCAAAATCATTGTATTGTCTTGAGCAACGAATAAAAAAAAAGGAAAAAAATATAAAACGAATGACTTCAAAGACATTTAGCTTATTCCTTCTATCCCTTTTATTGATGGGATAAAAGAAAAATTGGGTGAATTCACACTCTGTGTATGCCAGAAAAAACAACCCCACACCTAACCTAGAACAAGCTAAGACAATAGGAACATGAGACTTGAGTTCAATCCCAAAGTTAATCATTTATCTAGAGAGAATACATAGCATACTATTTCCTAAACAGGATAAAGACTATTTGACTGCGTGTACTTATCTCTCCCCATAAATATTATGAGACAATGGTGAGTCAAACTCATGATTCTTAGGTTAGACCAGATTTTAACAAAAAATATCTTTAGTCTTACTTTGCTGCAATGTGAAGCAAGCTTCTTTTCACACGTCCAAATGCATAATTGACATCAAATTTTGAATTTGACAGTAGTTCAGAAACAGACCTATGCTCCCCAAAAAAAAAGATTAAAAAAAGAAATCAATATGTAAACAAAAAAATTTAAACATAATAAATCAAGTTAATAGCTCTTTAAGTCTTCTTAATAACTATTCAAGGGCTGGGGGCTGTAGCTCAGTGGTAGAACACTTGCCTAGCATATGTGAGGCACTAGGTTCAATTCTCAGCACCACATATAGATAAATAAAATAAAGATCCATGGACAACTAGGAAAAAAAATAAGAAATTCTTCCTAAAAAAAAAAACATAATAATAATTATTCAAAAGGTTCTATCTCTTATCAACCAAAAAGTAAAGCACTATTGTAAAGTACAGAATGGTAGCCAGAAAATATTATCCATAATTGAAATGCCCTCACCATAAACTGGTGCTGAAGGTTTCCTAATTCGCCACTCAAATTGTGCTGTTACATGTTCTGAGGATATCTAACAGAGTACATTGGCTTCAGCTCTCCCCAGATCCTTGAGAAACAAAGGGAATAGGCATAGCTGGTCCCCTAGCCAAAAGTTGAGTCTACCTATTATTAATTTTAGCCAAATAAAAAAAAAAGTCAGACAAAAACACCTTTTAAATATACCAGAGAGAAAATATAAAGCCAAAAAATAACTTATGTTTTAAAATTGCTTCAAAATAATTTTTCTTCACTTTCTTCTCATTGTACACCCAACTATCCACTAGCCAACTACAGCAGAGCTGACTGCTACAAGAATAAAAATCCCTTCACAAAGCCTGTATTTTAAACACGCCTCTATAAAAAGAACATCAAAGTAGAAGCACAAAAGGAAAGTAAGCTACCCTCAGATGTAATCTTTCCTATAAAGATCAGTAGTAATCCTTAAAAGAAACCACTGCAATGTTTTTTCTATTTCAATGACCAATCAAATACTGAACATAAAATCTAATTATTCATTTAGAAAATCTCCTACCATAAAACTTTACAGCTTAGATATAGTTCTTGGGAAATTTTGTTCCTTATTTCACAACAGAAAATTATAATAGAGATGTTAAAACTGGCCTCAGGACATATCTATATGCAAACTGTGAATCTGTGTGTGTCTGTGTGCATAATATTCAGAACAAAGTTTACTTCTAAGGCATAAATTTATGAAAAAGACACTCACCTGTGTTGATCAGCCATAACCATTGGCATTAATGTGTAAACTGCAGTTTCATTATCTGAGTTTCAAACAAAAGAAAAAGAATTAATTAATAGTCTACTTTTTCCAAAGGGTGATATTTAAGATTAAAAAGTTTTCTTTTGAGACAAGGTCTCACTGTGTTGCCCAAGCTGGCCTCGAGCTCCTAAGCAATCATCAAGCAGTACCCTCCCCATTATCTGGGACTACAGATGTGCACCACCATGCCCACTCTAAGATTAGAGTTTTCTTAACTCTACATAAAAAATGAGAAAGAGAGGTAGAAGAAGGTAAGAATAGTGCAGAATAGCAAAAGTAGTGAAAAATTTACAACTACTACATAATTTCTCATCTCCTCTACTGTGGTCACAAAAGAGATGCAGCTTCCGGATACAAGGAGCAAATTGAAGAGCTTATATTTTCTGTAGTTTTAATAACCATAATGTATTTCCAATGTGGTATTTTATCATACTTACGTATACACTTTGTGAAATTTTAAATATTTATGGATATTAAAGATACATATACTAAGCTAAACCAGGCACAGTGATGCATACCTTTAATCCTAGCAACTCAGGACGCTGAGGCAGGAGGATCAAAAGTTCAAAGACAGCCTCAGCAACTTAGCAAGATCCTGTCTCAAAATAAAAAAAAATGAAAAGGACTGGGGTTGTAACTTAGTGATTAAGTGCCCCTGGGTTCAATCCTTGGTACTGCCCCCCCCCCAAAATGCATATACTAAAATAATTTTGCAACCTTAAGCTCTTCAGTTTGCTCCTTATATCCGGAAGCTGCATCTCTTTTGTGACCACAGTAGAGGAGATGAGAAATTATGTAGTAGTTGTAAATTTTGTACTACCTTTGCCATTCTGCACTATTCTTACCTTCTTAGGTAAGAACCTTAGACCTGATACTTCCTTCTTGATAATATAATAGAAGAAATTACTTTCAAAGTTTTAAGAAACAGAATTAAAAACAATTTTACTTATTACATTACACTATTCAGATTTGTAATCCTTTGTAATCCTGTAAATTCACAAACACATGATTCCAAAGAAAAGGTTAAAAATCAACACCTATAATGCCATATTATACTCATGTACATTTTACCTAATGTTTTGAACTTATTATTACTAATAGTCATGTCTCAAAGTCATTTTAGAGGTTTATATTTTTTAAATTGTTTACAGAGAGGAAAGCTTGAAAATCCCAAATAAAATCAGTGGATTAAAGTTTGAAGAGAAACAAGGTATTCCATTGTATCAAAGTATCTCCCCAAAATATTAACTAATTACAATGGAAAATGGTAAATTTACAGTAAAGAACCCAGCAAATACTACCTTAGTCAACTGACAAATGATAACATCACTTAAAATAATTCATATCAATACACAGTAGCTCCTGATATAATCAACTGAGGACACATAACTTTTGTATACATACACACACACACACACACACACACACACACACACCCCAGACCTGTAACATTCTTAACCAAAATGTACAACTTCAATCTAATTATGAGAAAACACCTGACAAACCCAAGTTATGGGGAATTCCACAGAATGCCTTATCAGTCAGTCCCCTTTAAATCTCCAGGTCACTGGATAAAAGGAAAGGCTGAAGAATTATTCACAGTTTGGGAAAGAATAAAGAAACATAGGGCTGGGGTTGTGGTTCAGTGATAGAGCGCTTGCCTCACACTTGTGAGGCACTGGGTTCAATCCTCAGCACCACATAAAAATAAATAAACAAAATAAAGGTATTTAAAAAAAAAAAAAGAATAAAGAAACATAACTAAATATGTGGCATCCTGGACTGACCCTAAAATAGAAAAAGGACATGAGTAGGAAAACTTGTGAAATTCTAATGAAGTCTGTAAGGTAGTTAACAGCACTATTATATGAATATTAATTTCTTAGTTATGATAATTGTACTCTGGTTATACAAGATATTAACATCAGAGAAAGCTGAGTGAAGGGTTATGGGAATGTTGTATTATTTATACAAATTTTCTATGAGTCTAAAATTACTGGAAGAAAATTTTTAAAGGAGGAGAGACTGTTATAGATTAAAAGAGTCTCGGGCTGGGGTTGTGACTCAGTGGCAGAGCGCTTGCCTAGCACATGTGAGGCGCTGGTTTCGATTCTCAGTACCACATGAAAAATTAAATGAAGATATCATGTCCATCTACAACTAGAAATATTTTTTTAAAAAAGAGTCTTAAGAGATGGATCAACTAAATGTAATGTATTGACTGAATACTAATTCAAACAAAGCAACTTTAGAGAATTTTGCGGGGAGGGGGGCTACCAGGGATTGAACTTGGGGGCACTAAACCACTGAGCTACATCCCCAGTCCTGTTTTGTATTTTATTTAAAGATAGGGTCTCACTGAGTTCTCAGTGTCTTGCTTTTGCTGAGGCTAGCCTTGAACTCGAAATCCTCCTGCCTCAGCTTCCCAAGCTGCTGGGATTACAGGTATGCACCACCATAACCAGCTTGAAAACCATTATCTTAAAGGCACTTTTGTTTTCACTAGGCTAGGGATCCAAAGGCACTGTTTTAAAAACTACATACATGATCTCTTTTTTCTTCACAATCACTTTATGAAGTACCATTATCCCCATTTTACAAATGAGAAAACTGAAACACAAAGTAACAAGCTGTGTAATGGCAACAAACCACGGATTCTATACTCTCATAATACTATATGCCTTATAGTGTACCCAGAATATGCTATATACAGTAACCAAAAAGTCCATGATATGATACACTCTAATTTGTTTTATCTTCTTCTATTTCTTTCTTTAAAATGCTAACTGCAATCCAATAAAATGTTCTCAATAATTACTAATGAGTCACTACCAGAAGTTGAAAAGATTACACAAAGCCTCCTTTGGTATAACAACATTCTTTCTCTCAATAATACACACCCCAATTAAAAAAAATCTGAGTCTCATATTAAAAAAAAAAAAATCTGAGTCTCTAAACAATGACAATTTCCATAATTTAAAAAAAATGATAAACAGGTAATACCCTTTTTTGTAAATTTAAATACAAATCAAAATAGTACATAATTGTAAGTGAGCATCATAAGATTTACATTGGTTTTATCTGTAAGGTTTTTATTTAGATAAAATTTAGAAGCCAGGCATGGTGGTACATGCTTGTAATCCCAGCAGTTCAGGAGGCTGAGACAGTAGAATCCAAGGCTCCAAGCCAGTCTCAGCAACTTAGCAAGACCCTAAGCAACTTAGTGAGACTCCATCTCAAGGACATGGCTCAGCGATTAAGTGCCCCTGCATTCATTCAATTCCTGATACCAAAAATAAATAAAATTTAAAAATTTTAAATTTAGATGTGGCTCTTATATTTTAAGTCACATTTAACCTTGTAAAAATATAGGTCACTACAAGGATAGGTAAGAATAAAGAATATATCCACAACTATATTCCTAAAAGGAGACTAAAAAATATTAGACTAAGAAAGAACAGTATAAAATTTGTTGCCAGATGCTTCCTTTTCCACACCTAAGTAAATACCAGGAAACGTAGGTAAGTTTTCAAAGTGATAAGAAAAATTTAACCTCTTGCTTTATAGATATGTTGGCCATTTTTATTAATAGTTTTGATTTATTCAATCAACTATTAAAAGGAAAATCTTAAAGAAAAAGGAGCTCAATTTATTATAAATAATTTCTTTTCAAACCATTAATGGGAATAATTTGTTTTAAAGCTGATAATTATCCTAATGATCATTCAAATATGTATGTTAAAATGTACTCAAATTCTTATTAAACAAACTACATTCACTGTAAATGCAATAATTTAAACTATTTTCTCTACATATGCAAACAATATACACAAATCTTCTAAAGTTCCTTGATAATCCACATCCCTAAAATAATTTCTTTGCCTTAGCCTCTTTTTCTCTCACAAGGCTATTTCTGTATTAGCCCTGCCTAGGATGACTCAACAACCTAGACTCCATTTCTTGGTGGTCATACTCAGGTTTTCACCACCTCAAGGAAAAAAACTGTGCCCCCTACCCCCAAGTCAGTAAATCATGCAACAAAGTTAACTGTAGAGTCAAAGACAGCTTAAAACTTTACAGTTGTAAGAATTTAGTCTAATTAGATGCTTACTGACTGCTGAGTTTTAACAAGGCAAAAAAAACTCATTATTTCTTAAATGTACACTATTAGCACTTCTGTTCATTCCTCACAATGCAAACATGTTAATGTGAATTTGTAGAATGTACTATACACTCAGAAAATTCAAATATTAATCAGAAGTTAGGATCGAAGATAAATTTAAGAAACAAAATGAATAAATTCATCATAAATCAAAGAAAAAAAAACAGATAAACAAGATACCAGTTTTTCCTAGCAACATAGGAAAAAGTCTTACTTTTAATTGTAATACTCTTAGTTTCTAACCACTCAGACTGCTAAAGGTAATTTCCAGGTGTAAGTTGAGAACCTGATGCTTAAAGCCTTTAAAATGTTGATATAATTAAATCTTATTATTCTTTTTCTAAGAATTAACCATGGGGAAACAGGCAGACTAAGTCTTAAGTATAAAGTTGCACCCATAAAATCAGTTATAAAAACAAAAATCATGCATCTTATGAAATCCTGCAAAGTCATTAAGCATATAAGAATATAAAAAAATATTTATGAGGGGCTGGAGGTGTAGTCCAGTGGTAGAGCACTTTTCTGGCATACCTGAGTTTTATGCTCACTCAGCACCACTCCAAAAAAAAAAGTTTGAGACGTTTTCTAAATGCACATTAAGACTATATGCAGTACGATTTTATTTTGATGGGTAAAGAAAAGGAACTAACAATGGAAGGAAATAAAGAAATGCTAACATTATTTATTATTGATATTTATTATTGATATAGTGGTAGAAATACTATCAAATTCTTTCAAATTATATTTATGTAAAAAATATTGGATGCACACTGGGCAATACAAATTCCAATGTCAATGAAACTACACACAAAGTCTTCATCAACTTATACCAATAATCTGACTTGGAAAATAAGTGAGAGCAGCACTTAAAGAACAGATTCAAAGATGGAAGTTAGAATAGAGAGAAAAAGTTGAAGCTGGAAATCTAGTTACTAAAATCCAGGACTTAACTACTTCATACTAACAAAATACCAAAATGTCTGCCATAAATCTTCCTTACTCTGAATCTTAAATAGAAACTCGGGGAATTTTTTGCAAGAAAATTATCCCAAAGTCCCCAATCCCACAATTCTTTCAAGATTCCCACGGGGTGGGGAGGAGGTTATGGCTCAGAGGTAGAACACTCAATGCCTGAGGCATTGGGTTAGATCATTAGCACCACCTAAAGTAAAATAAAGACATTGTGTCCACCTATAACCAAAAATAAATAAATATTTTTTAAAAAGATTCCCGGGCTGGGGTTGCGGCTCAGTTGTAGAGTGCTCGCCTATCATGCACGAGGCACTGGGTTCCATCCTCAGCACCACACAAATGTAAAATAAAGATATTGTGTCCATCTAAAGCTTAAGAATAAATATTAAAAAAAAAAAATTCCCAAGTCTTCCTTCCAATAACCTATAACTTTCCCAGCACCAATTCAAAAAAAGTTATTTTAAAAAATGAAATAACAACATAAACTACAATGAAGTGGGCGGGTATTCACCAGCCCTAACTCCCTCCTAACCCTTCTCTCACTTGCTCACTAGGGCATAAAAAGCCATTCTCTTAGAGGCATCACTGCCACCTCCTTCAGGCACTAAAACATCTGGATTCGTGAGGCTACAAACAAAACAAAACGGAAGTATTTTTCTCTTTTATTATTAGAGTTTTACCTATCCTGAAGGAATGCTGGCACACTGAACTAATAAGAGTCCTGAAATACAGGGACCATGTCTTCTTCCTCTTTTTTGACGCAACTCAGTTTCCACCTAGCCCACTGAATAAATGAAGCATGAAGGGAGGCATGCCTATTAAAGAAAAATGTATTTGTGTATACACACCAACTTTGAGAATACCTAAGTGATGACTGATGATCTTTTGTCTGTTGTCAAAACACAGTAGTGCCCTACATCTTAAATTATTAAGAATAAAATTGCTTACCCCCGCCCCCGCCCCCGCCCTCCAGCAGCATAAAGTAAATAGGATCTTTGGAGCATCTCCCTATCCCCCCCCCCCCAAGCAATACTGTAAAATGGCTCGTAACTAGCGTTCTCTGAATACGGGTCTCCACCATTGGCTAGTATTCCTGCTCAGTCCCCCAAAATCGACAGTCAGGAAAGACCTCTGTTGGGATTGTTCCGGCAGCAGATCCCTCATAGACAGGGCCTCTCCCACAAACTCCCACCTGCCAGGGCAGGAGCAACCCGCCAGAGGGGTGCTGGGGGTCCCGGTCCGGGCCCTACCAGCTCAAGAAAGTAAAGTGGGCTTTAGGTTAGTTTTTTCACTACACCTTGACACGGCCCGAGCCCAGACCTCTCTGGTTCCTAGCCCCGCTCACCCTCCGGCAACTCCACGGTGCGAGCGCGTCGAAGCGAGCGCGTCAGGCGGTTAAGCTGTTCCATCGCTCTCTCCATCCTCGGCGCGTCCTACGGGATCGCCGTGCTGCGCCGGCGGCCTTCGCGCCAGCGCCCTACATCCCGCCCCAGGCCCGGCCAGTGGGCAGAGAAGTGGAATCCCCCCGGCCAGCACCCGTGACTGTGACAGAGGCTCGGAGCTGCGTCCTGGTTCCAGGACCCTCTGCTTCTATACAGACCACCAGCGCGGGGGACCACCCGCAGCCACCTCAGCTCGCGAGGTTCCTACAGCGGCCGCCGCTCCACCGCGGCCGGGGCTCTTTTTCTGGACTCGCACGGCCTTCTGGGAACTGTAGTTCCGGGCTGGCAAGGCGCGCTCCTGGGGCGGAGCCACGCCGGAGGCTGTGCGCCCCGCCCAGCTCCGCCCAGCCCCTCTGCCACTGGGCCAGGGCAGTGAGGCGAGCAGTGCTGTTTGTACCTCCAAATCCTGGAGAGACTTCCCTGGCGTTCCCTCCGGAGTTGTACAGGAGCAGTTACCTTCAATTCTATCACTCCCCTATAACTTAATGAGTACTACTATCCATTCTGGTATTGATTACATTTTTTTTCCAGATAAATGAACTCTTTAAATATTATATGTCAAATTTGAGGAGTAATAAGTTAAACAAATGTGAAAGCAAAATGCGCGTTTTCCTTCTCTGTAAGAAAGTAACAATAGCTTCATACTTTGTGTTTCATACTGAGTGACTTCCTGGGGGTAGGGACAGCCTTGCTAGATCCTTGTAGTTACCACAACACCTAGCACCAAATTGAAACTTGGGGAATGATTGAAATAAAAACAGCATGAAAGAAAATTTTGGTACAATGCAGTCTCAATGTGATGACATCCTAATGGTAAATACAAAGACTTCAAAAAACCTTGACACCAACAAGTGTGGAAGAAATTAATAGAAAGCATATCAGTGGGGAAAAAATCGTATTTGTCATCTGTGCATAGCAGTTAAACACCAAGCCAGGTTACAACGGAAATTTGAGCACCTGAAACTTGAAAGAATTAATCCCATCAGGATATTAATAGGAGCCTGGTTAACACAACTGATGATGAAAAGTTAAGGAAGAAATTCTTCCTAAGTTTGTTACCAGTGCTAAGATGATGCCTGAGTAGGGGAGAAGGAAAGGGTTTGACTTTCTCAACTTCTTCTCCCTCAAAAAGGCAAAGTATCCCTGCAATGGATGGGCAGTAAGTATAAAAAAGAGAGTCTCACCTGCCCATACAAGATATGAAGTGGCAGATTGTGGTTGGTACTGATTGGGTGTTCCCTGTCAAAGCCATCCTAAATCAGTTCTAGCCTATAACTGCCATCACCTTCACCTAACCTGTTGGTTCAGATAAGACTAAACCAGTCTGGCAACAAGATGGGAGAAGTCAACCCTTTGAAGGTATGTCAAATGCTGTGAGCCAGCGTGGACCATGCCCAGTCTTTGCAGTAGCTCTGGAGATGGGCATAACCTGTTGGAAACTGGACAGCCCACCTTCTGTCTTTTATGGTGAATAACATTCTTTGGAAGGTCTTTGATGTTCCCTATATAAATAAAACAAGCCCGGGCTCCATTTTGCTTTTTAGTATAGAAGCTTCCTCTGTATGATTGGCTTAAATGTCCTACCCCCGGTTTTTGAAATTATTTCTGTATTGTATCCTGTGGTTTTTTTTTTCCACCATTCTATTTTTCTTAGCTTTTATTCCACAGCCAGCCCATTCCACCAAGGGGAACCACATCTCCACTGCCCATGTGAGATGTGGGGGGAAGGTCGTATGTGTGAAAGAAAAATAAAGGTGGAAGCCACAGTTTAGGTCTACCTAAGTTCAACTGTCTATAACCATGTAACCAAAACTTAAGTCATTCCAACTCCCCAAAATGTTATCTCTAACCATAAACAAAACATAAACTTTATGTCCCTGTCAGCATGATTCAGTGAAATTAAACCAATCAGCTATAGAGAAATCAGCTTAAATAGCTGTTTGATGTTAAAGAAAAAAAATGTTAATAATACCAGTCAATCACAAAAGAAATCAAAGTTCTTCCTCCTTTAATTTTTTTTTTGTGATGCTAGAGATCAAACCCAGAGACTTATGCATACAAAGCAAGCACTCTATCAACTGAGCTATCTCCCCAGCCCTCCGTTAATGCTTTATAAACTGTGATAAACTGTGCTGTAACTGCAATAAGGTGAGTGTCTTACTACAGTTCAAAATCTCCTGGATCACAATCTGTACTTTTTGAATGCCAATAAATTTTTAAGTTTTTTCTAACTTGATTTGATTTGATTTTTTACATATGAAAAGATAAAACAAAGCATCTATTTGCTCTAAGAGACTACCTTTTCCTCAAATTTCAAAGAGGAATTGGAGATAACATATATCTGATAAATATTAACCAAAACATGAGGTGTTTGGATCTGCCTGACTTTGGATCCCAGTATTCCACTGTGTTCAATCTAGGTCAACATTTTCTTTCATCTTCTCTTTCTTTTTTAATATTGTTGTTTTCTAATTGTACAGATTGTAGAGGTCAGGGCTGCTGGGCTCTGCCTTCTTTTTCAGTGTACTCCTGCACTGGGGTCAAGTTTCTCCAGAGAAACAGAACCAATTTGTGTGTGTGTGTGTGTGTGTGTATTTAAGAGGTTTATTATAAGGAACTGACCCATGATTACTAAAGCTGGCAAACACAATGTCTATGGTGTGGGCCAGCATGTTTGAGACCCAGGAGACCCAATGGTATAATTCCAACCCAAAAACTGCTAACCAGGGACAGCCAATGCTGCAAATGAAGTTAAAGGCAGTTAGCTGGAGAATTCCTTCTTGCTCTATGAAGCTGGTCTTTTAGTTCTATTCAGACCTTCAGTTGATAAGTCAAAGCCCACCCACATTATGGAGGACAATCTGCTTCACCCACAGTTCACAAATTTAAATGTTAACTTCATCCAAAAATATCATCCAACTTGATACATAAAATTAACCATCATAAACAATATTAACATGAACAAAATTAAAGCAAAAATAAAATAGTTATTAGAGTGCAGGAGAATCAAAAGGCAGTTTATCATTGTCCTCAGCCTATACCTAAAAACATAGACTAAAAATAAAACTACACTTGGCAGAACTACAAGAATAAATTTACCACCACAGGCATAAATTTTTAACACCCTTCACTATGAAACTGATAGAACTAACAGAGAAAGAAAAAAGATAGGTATGAATATAGAACATTCAAAATATTTAATGACAGGCCTCATTAAAGGGCATATATGAACATTCACTTCACCTAACAAAGAGGAAATACAGATTCTTTTAAATTATAAATGTTAGATTTACAAAAATACAAAGGTGCTGGGCAAGGTGGCACATGCCTATAATCCCAACAGCTCAGGAGGCTAAGGCCTCCCGAGCTTTGAACTTGAGGATCTCAAGTGCTGGTCAGAGAGCTGGTGGAGGTCTTCAGCACTCTGTGGAGGGGCCTCTTCTCAGGGTTAAAGGCCACTTGGGCAGGGCCCATGGGGCTGACCATATTCTTGTCTGTCTTCTTGAATTCTGTGCAATCCAAAGGTGACTGTCTTGGACTAGAGGTGTTTTGTTCAGCTGGACAGCTAGCTATGCAGGGCAGTGGGCAGCACTGCTTTTGACTTTTCTGAAGAACAGGGGTTTGGTAAGAAATAGGAGACAAACTTCACAAAGTCCTTCTCTGTTCTCATTGGCCACCATCCTGATGCTTCCTAGATCTTGGATCTGCCTGACTTTGGATCCCAGTATTCCACTGTGTTCAATCTAGGTCAACATTTCTTTCATCTTCTCTTTCTTTTTAAAAACTGTTGTTTTCTAATTGTACAGATTGTAGAGGTCAGGGCTGCTGGGCTCTGCCTTCTTTTTCAGTGTCCTCCTGCACTGGAGTAGGGTGACCTGGCCACACTCTCCCTCTTTGAGGCTCAAGGAAGAACAGGCCAGTGTGGCCTGGTCACTGCTGTTGGCCAGGACAGCTCCAAGCTTCTGTTTTCTTTTCAGGACTTGAGCTCATCTGTTGGGGAACCTCTGGCAGCTGATCTCTGAAGATGACTCCTACCAGGGTCACTCTGAGACTTGTCTTCCAGAGGAAAACCTATGGATACCAGATCTCTCCCTGTGCCTTCAGCCTCTTTCTTCTTAGCCTCTTCCTCCTGTTGTGTGTGGGGACAACAGGAGGGGATGCTCTGAGCTACTCTCCTCCTGGGTGCTGGATTTTACCCTTGCTCTGGGTAAAGTTGCAAGCACCTGTAGGGCCTGCCTCTGAGCAGTTGAAGGTCCCTGTCCCTGCTCTATGCTGAGGGTGTGGCGACTTCCCTGGTGTCCCAAGTCTCAGGCTCGGGGTGGTTCTTCTTTTCTTCCTCTTTCTCTTCTGATTGCTGCCTTCACTGTCCTCTTTCTCAGAAAGAAAGACAGTTTGCTGTCTCCTTCTCCAAGTCAGCTTTCTTCAAAAGCTTATGTCCCCGCCCCCCCCACACACACACACACACACCTTCCTTGACTGAGGGCTTGATCATCTTCATCAGTAGAAATGTCCTCAGGAAAACTGAGTTGAGAAGTCACCTTTAGTGAGGACTTGGAACTTTTTGATTAGTTTGCAGAGATGCTTCTGGTTGAAAGGAGGGATGCTTTTCTTGTTGGTTATTTCAAGGAGTTGGTTGGCAACAGCCTTTTAGTCAAACTGGAGTAGTAACCCTGTGTCCTTGAAGATTCCACAGTCTGTCCTTTCTCTTTCTTCATTGATTCTGTCTCTCCGGGAGTGGTATTTTCCCAGTGCTGTCTTCTTTCAGCTGATTGCTGCTGCCTCATTTTCAGAAGTCTCTTCTTCAGAGGTCACTATTACACACTGTCATTTTCTGTTCCTCCATTGTCTTTTCAGGTACAAAAGAAAACTAATCTACAATGACTTCTAAAACACCCCAAGGTATTGTCTGTATCAGTGTATGGTCCTTGGTCTTGGCAGCAATTTTGCAGAACGGATCAATAAACTTGAGGTTCTAAGCCAAAAGCTCTTTCCTTCCCACTTTGGGAAGTTCATCCAGGTAAATATTAATGAAGTGGAATCTCACTCCATCAGGAGAATGACTCTCAGGACACAGGATCTACTTCGTCAGAACATACAGAAAAAAAATCTTGATTCAGTTTTCTTCCCAGCCATTCCATTTCAAAACTTCAAAAGACTGCCTCCGGACCAGATGGATCAACATATATTTGTGCAGGCGCAGCACGTCTATTCTCTTCCATTCTCTATTCATGGTTTGCCAAAAGGTCTGAAT